TATATATATATAGATATATCCCTATCTATCCCTATCTCTCTCTCCCCCTCTGTCTCTTCACCCCCTTTTTCTCTATCTATTTATTCCTAGACACAATCCTGTGACTATTTAACTGCTGATCACATGGTCTCTGGCTGCCAGGAGCAACGTGAGTGTTCCATGCCATTAGAAATGGCAGAGGGACTGTTGACGATCCCTTATATATAGATATATCTCTATCTATCCCTATCTCTCTCTCCCCCTCTGTCTCTTCACCCCCTTTTTCTCTATCTATTTATTCCTAGACACAATCCTGTGACTATTTAACTGCTGATCACATGGTCTCTGGCTGCCAGGAGCAACGTGAGTGTTCCATGCCATTAGAAATGGCAGAGGGACTGTTGACGATCCCTGTCTAGAAGGTTTGAAATTTTGCCAGGAGGGTTGAAGGAGTTTCAAATTTTGAATTCAATATGAAGCTCAAAAACACAGGGACCTCAAAGTAGCAAGTGGAAAGGTCAAACTAACCTTAGGAAGTATTATTTTTCTGAGTAGTTGATGGTTGGAACAGACTTCTAGCAGAGGAAGGGAGTCCGTCAACAGGAAGGGACAATAAACAGGCTTGGGACATCAAAAAGGGGCAGACTTGATGGGGCACTCAATGGAGTATTCTACAGAGCATTCAATGGAGCTTTCCATGGAGCACTTGATGGAGGACTAGATGGAGCATTCTATGGAATACTTGATGGAGGGCTCAATGGAGCATTCCATGGAGGGCTTGATGGAGCATTCCATGGAGGGCTCGTTGGAGCATTGCATGGAGGGCTCGTTGGAGCATTGCATGGGGGGCTCGTTGGAGCATTGCATGGAGGGCTCGTTGGAGCATTGCATGGAGGGCTCGTTGGAGCATTGCATGGAGGGCTCGTTGGAGCATTGCATGGAGGGCTCGTTGGAGCATTGCATGGGGGGCTCGTTGGAGCATTGCATGGGGGGCTCGTTGGAGCATTGCATGGGGGGCTCGTTGGAGCATTGCATGGGGGGCTCGTTGGAGCATTGCATGGGGGGCTCGTTGGAGCATTGCATGGGGGGCTCGTTGGAGCATTGCATGGGGGGCTCGTTGGAGCATTGCATGGGGGGCTCGTTGGAGCATTGCATGGGGGGCTCGTTGGAGCATTGCATGGGGGGCTCGTTGGAGCATTGCATGGGGGGCTCGTTGGAGCATTGCATGGCGGGACGTTGTAGGTAAATTAGCTATAATTTGGCGCTGAAGTTGCTAGAGGGCCAGACCATTATAAATAGGGAAGCGGGTTGGTTACCACGACAGTAGAAGTGATTTGTTTCTGAAGATACGGGGAAACAACGCGATGTAACAGCCTTTGAACGTGGGATGATTGTTGGCGCTAGGAGCCATGGAGCGAGTATCAGCAAAACAGCAGAATTCGTTAAATGTTCAAGAGCAGCTGTTGTTAAAGTGTTTAAAGAGCGGACTGTCAGCCGAAAATCTGGGTCTGAACGTGCGAATTGTGGCCGTCAGCGACTGGTCAATGTTAGGGCAGAACGGGGGAGGGGCAAGACTGGTACAAGACAACAGAAGGGCCACAGTGCCGTGTCAGATTCCTCGCATCACCTTTCATCATCTCGTAGAGTCACCAGGCGGCCCAACGAAGTACCGATGGGGTGGTCATAATAATCTGGCCACTCAGTGTATATCGCCTGTCAGAGAGATGCCAGAATTTGCTTTTAGGCCAGCGCCATCATTGCCGAGGTCACCATTAGCATCCTAGACTTGGATGCCGACCTTTTATATAAATCCTTTTACCTGCAAAGTAGTTTTTATCTTCTTGATTGTGTTTATATTGGGTGTCTTAACACTGTTCAGCCATCCTGCTGCTAGCTCTCTGTGGTGTTACTGTGACAGATGTGTACACTTCCAGAACATTGAGCAGGACAATGACCTTTCACCCTATGACCAGCCAGTGTAATAATCTGTCACAGTTGCACAGCTCAGCCCTCTGCTGAAAGATTATCTCTGTATAAGGTGAACCTCGTGAGAAGACGTCTCGGGGAATCGATCTGATGATCCATTCAGGTGTAAAGTCCCTTCTACAGTCCCGGCATTGTCCAGGGGCCACCGATTAGCTGCAGATAAGCTGCATTCCTCGGCTCTCCTTTCCCAGATTACGACCTTTACCTGTTATAAAAGGTAAAAAAAGGGAGTGCCGCGTGTAGGTGCTGCGTACCGAAGAGCCCGTGTCCTGAAACAGACGCTAGACCTGTGCGTTTCGTTCCGCTTCAAAATTCGGACAAATTTTCCAAAATTAGGACATTCGGACACATCCCAATTTCTGAATCCCAATGCATCCGAATGGGTCAGAATCCAAATTTCAGTTTCCGAATCTCGGATCCCACCCGAAATTTGGTTTAAAAAATGAAACTGAATCGGCGTGTGACTTTTCTGGCCAATCAGATGTCCAAATGGGTTCAGAGCGCAAATTTTTGTTACGGCAATGTGGGAGCCATCTGATTGGCCAGACAAATCACATGCCGTAATGAAATTTCTTGTTCAGTATATACATATCATACAAAAGCTGAGGCTCCTAGACCTGAATGGCATTGGGGATCCGAATTTCAAAATTGCATTCGGGTCTTGGAGCAGGGGCGTCCCGAAGCTGGGTGACACCCGGAGCGGTAACCGAGTGTCACCCCACCGAGCCGTCACTGCGCATGCGCGTGACATCACCACGCGGGTGCGCGTTGACGTCATCGCGCACGCGCGGCAGTATTCTGATACCTGCCGGCGGCCATCTTGTTGATGGACGCCGGCAGAGAGAGAAGGGGACAGTCACCCGGCGGGATAAGGTATGCCGCAGGGTCCCCTCCTCTCTCCTGATACTGTCGGGCATTCGGTCCATGACCGAGTGCCCGACTTTTCAGAGGGGGGTGACACCAAAATGACTGTGAGTCATTTTGGTGTCACCCCTCCAATGGTGTCACCCGGGTGCGGGCCGCACCCTCCGCACCCCCCTTGTTACGCCCCTGTCTGGGAGCCTCAGCTTTAGTAATATATGTATTTGGCTCCTAGACCCAAATAGCAATTGGGAGCTCCCCAATGCAATTTGGAAATTCGGACTCGCGAATACCATTCGGGTCTGGGAGCCTCAGCTTTAGTATTAGTATCTGTAGATGGTTTTCTGTTTTACTCGCAACTAATATTAGTAAACTCATCCGAAACGAAGGAAATTCGGATTTTGTCCAAATCCGAAACCTGAATTGAATTTCAACATCGTACGTGTCTTTTGAGATTCCTGCGACAAGAACCTACAAAGTTCTGCAGCAGGAAACCCAAATATGTCATTTAGAAGAGACCGCTGTCACCTGTTCAAATTAATGACCGGGTGACAGCAGCCGCATCTGAAAGTGGCACACCTCTTGCAATCGTATGTGATACAATCACTGTCCCTGGACTCCTCGATCGTGCATCCAGCAACAGTGATTTATTCCTAATTAAGTGCCGTAGGACTGCCGCTTTCAAATTTGCCCGCTGTCACCTGATAATTAACTTGAACGGGTGACAGGGGTCTCTTCTAAACATCATATTTGGGATTCTTGCTGCAGGAATGTCAAAACGCACCTACTATGTAGGTGTGAATAAAGCCTAAAGGTACAAAATGTCCAGGTGAATGTGACCAGATCATGCATTGGAGAGTTTTCCCTTGATTTTCCATCCCGGAGACATAACAGGTGAGAGGAAATCTCTGCTCAGTGATGGGATCTTCTGTGTTTGTTGTCACCAAAATAACGGTCAGAAATGTTTCCGCGTCCTTTGCTTTGGTGACAATTTTTTTTTATAAAATTTTGGATTTCCCATAATTTTCTGTCTCCGTGATGTCATTCAGCAGGACAAATGGAAATAGTGAATCTTCTCAGAGGTTAAGCCGACAGCAAGAAGAACCCGGCAGAGGCTCTAATAGTTAAAGTGACACTAAATTCAGGAGTTAAATCTTAAAAATCCAATCAAGTCCCTGAACTCTGAACAACAATGTATCTTATTTGTGTATCACTCGGCTGTAGATCCTCCAATCATCTCTGAACTGGTGCTGACACTGTCCTTCCTTCTGGAGGGGGGCTACGTCTGTTCCCCATGGTCCCTGTGTGTGTCGTAAAGTAGTCACCGCTCCAAGTTCGTTCTCGGCATGGACTACAATCTCATGTTTACTAGTTTACTCATTTGTATTCAGACTGTAGTCCATCACAGGAGCGAGCTTGGAGCGGTGACTACTTTACAACACACACAGGGACCGTGTGGAACAAAAGTAGTCACCCTCCAGAAGGAAGGACAGTGTCAGCACCAGTTCAGAGATAGCAAAACAAATGATTATCCGCGCTATAGTGCTCTACCCCAAACTCCTCAATAACACCCTATTGACAGCTGCAGAGATAGAGAGAAGCTTTATAAACTTCTCCCACAATATATTAAACAACAAAAACACTGCGCTATCTCTAATATTATAAAACTCTAAGTGCATATACTTTTCCAATTCAGAGATGATTGGAGGATCTCCAGCCGAGTGATACACAAATAAGATACATTGTTGTACATAGTTCAGGGACTGGAATGTATTTTTACGATGTAACAACTCCAGAGTTCAGCGTCACTTTACTGCTCTGTACGGAGCGGATTCTGGAGTTTACACCTAAAGCTCATACCTACGACCAGTGATTATGACGCCCCCATAGTTCTCCTTAGGGTAACGGGAGGACACAAACTAGCGTCCTCCCGTCACCCTAGGCTCAGTATACCGCGAGCTGCTGCTTGCGGTATACTGAGACGCCGCAGCTGAAGCAGATCCCGACAATTGTGCCGGGATCCGCCCAGCTGCATGACTGACAGCTGGCTCTGCCTATCTAGAGGCAGAGCCACCTGTACCCGCCCCCTCCCCCGTCCGTTCCGCACAGCGCTGGTGGATCGGAGCGGGGAGAGGGGGGAATCCAGCCACTCCCCTGTCACAGCAGAGAGCCGTGACAGGATCGAGAGGTGAGCGAACGCCGGTATGTGTTCGCTCACCTCCCGATCTACTGAGCCGACCTGTGACAGTCTCATTGTCACAGGTCGGCTAGAACTATGAGGTGAGTGAAAAACACTCACCTCATAGTTCTCCTTTTAAATGGGTGCAGGACCGCCTGGGTTGCTAAATGCACCATTTAAGGCTAGGAGCCCCTTCTTGTGGATCTTGGGGGCAGCTTGTGCTTCCTGCCAGGTCTTCAGCAAGACCGTTAGGCAGAGGTATAGTGGCTTGCTATATATTTTCCCCATTTTCTGTCTCTCTTTCTCTCACCTTTCTGTACTCTGTTGTCCATATCGTATGTTCCTTTTTGTCATGTCTTTTCCCACTTACACTCCCTTCTGCCTCACTGCTTCTTCCAGCCTGCGGTCGTGCCGTTTGCCTAGGCACGCGCGGCCAGCTCCCCCCCCCCTGTCCTTTTCTTAGATCGGC